CAACTTGGTGAGACCTCATCTCTACAATAAATCAAAAAATTAGCCGGGCATGGTAACGCGTGCCTGTACTTCCAGCTACTTGGAAGGCTGAGGCGGAAGGATCGCTGGAGCCCAGCAGGTGGAGGTTGCGGTGGCTGGAAGTGGCCACTGCACTCCAGTCTGGGTGACAAAATGAGATTCCAACTCAAAAAAAAAAAAGACAACAAAAAACTGTGGTTGATTACTAGAATGTAAAAACCGTGTTTATCACAGGAATTTGGATCGACTCATGACAATCTGTGATAATTAAACAGTCAAATAAGATCTAGTTCCAATGAACTCAATTAGTCTAAAAAACCAACACCAATTCTCTCTTTTTTTTTTTTTTGAGTTGGGGTCTCACTCGGTCGCCCAGACTGGAGTGCAGTGGCCACTCCCGGCCACCGCAGCCTCGCCTGCTGGGCTCCGGCGATCCTTCCGCCTCAACTTTCCGAGTAGCCGGAATTACAGGCATGCGCTACCATACCCGGCTGATTTTTTATTTTATTTTATTGTAGAGATGAGGCCTCGCTGCCCAGGCGGGTCTCGAACCCGTGGGCTCAGGCAATCCACTCACCTCAGCCTCCCAAAGGTACGGGATTACAGGCTGAGCCACCGAGCCCGGCTACCAATTCTCTTAAAGTTAGAAACATATCCAAAGAGGTTTCTCCTTGTGTAAGTTATTTTATACATAAAATAAAACAGACAATGACTCTAACAGATTAACCCTAAAGCACAGGGCAAAACCTCAGTATTCCACAAAAATATCCCCTGAAAACTATGATGTGACCCTGAGAAACCCCGTCATACTTAGTAATGATGATAGCCAATGTTTAGTTAAAAAAAGTAGGATACAACACTTGAAGGTGGGGAGGGAGAAACTGCAGGGGTTGGTGGGGGGTGGGGGGGCAGGAAAGACATCCAAGCCTTCTTTATATTTTTATTTTTTCCTTTTTTAGAGACAGGGTCTCACTCTGTTACCCAGGCTGGGGTGCAGTGAAACTATCATACCTCACTGTAGCCTCAAATTCCTGGGCTCAAGACATCCTCCCACCTTGGCCAAGGTGGGAGGGGAAGTGCTAGGAGGTGTGGAGGGAAGAAGGGGAATAGGGAAGGAGGGAGGAGGGAGGGAGGGGACTCACTAGCTCTGGAAACCTGCACCAAGTGCCCCCTGTCTTTGACTGAGTGCGAATCTGTACATATGTGAAAGGAAATTACCAGAAAACCTGGATGGCCAATATCTGGAACTAAACAGCTCTGAGTAGCTTGTGTTCCCACGGAGAGTAAGGAGACCCTGCACTACATCAGGTGGAGTCCTCAGGTGTGTCCTCCAGCACTGGCAGCGGGGCTGGATCGATGAACCCCATCCTGGAGGCTGCCCTGGACTCACCCTACGCCATTAGAAGTGAGCCCCGAGAGGACTCAGAGTGCTCCACGACTGGACTGCACACCAGCGCACACACAGTGCTACTTAAAGAAATGGCGCAAATCCAGATACGGTGCTACTTAAAGAAATGGCACAAATTTACAGTGTCTGGCACCAAATAAAAAAGTACCAGGCATGCAAAGAATCCAAGAGAAAATTAGTATTAGAAACAGACCCAGAACTGACAGAGATGATAGGCATAGTAGACAGAAATGTTGAAATGACTATCAAATGTGCTCACACGCATAAAAATAAAACAAACCAAATATGATGAGGAGAGACCCAAATGGAATTTCTACAGAAGAGAAATACAAGAACATAAATGAAAAATACACTGGATAGAATTAACAGCAATTCCAAGTCCTTTGGGTTTTCATATAAAATTTAGAAACAACTTGTCAATACCTATTTTTTTAAACCTGCTGGAATTTTTAAATCATATGGGAATAATAGACACCATACTGCAGAAGACAATAGCCATGAACTTGAAGACATGGCAATAGAAGCTATCTAAAATGAGAGAAAGAGAGAGACAGAGAGAGAGAGAGAGAGAGAGAGAGACAGAGGGAGACAGAGAGAGAGACAGTGGTAGAGACACACACAGAGAAAGAAAGAGACAGAAAGAGCGATAGAGACAGAGGAAGACAGAGAGAGGGAGACAGAGAGAGAGGGAGACAGAGAGAGGGAGACACAGAGAGACAGAGAGACAGAAAGGGAGAGAGAGACAGAGAGAGAGAGTGATAGAGATAGAGAGATGGAAGGAGAGAAAGAGAGAGAGAGATACACACACACAGAAAGAGACAGAAAGGGAGAGAGAGGAGAGAGACAGAGAGAGAAAGAGAGAGTAACAGAGATAGAGAGATGGATGGAGACACACACAGAGAGAGAGAGAGAGAAACAAAGTCTCAGTGACCTGTGGGACAATATCAAACTGTGTCACTGAAGAGACAGGAAGGAGAAACAGAAACAAATACATAAAGAAAAAACAGTCAAACATTTTCCAAATGTGATGAAACTATAAGCCCGTATAGCCAAGGATTTCAGTGAACTCCAAGTATAAGACATGTCAAGAAAACCATGCCAAAGCACAGCATCATAAGAGGCAGAAAAACAGATACAGATAAAAAGTGACCAGGCGCGGTGGCTCATGCCTGTAATCCAGCACTTTGGGAGGCTAAGGTGAGAGTATTGCCTGAGCCCATGGGTTTGAGACCAGCCTGGGCAACATGGCAAGATCTTATCTCTACAATAAATCAAGAAAAATTAGTTGAGTGTGGTGGCATGTGCCTGTGGTTCCAGCTACTTGGAAGGCTGAAGCGGAAGCATCACCTGAGCCCAGCAGGTTGAGGCTGCAGTAGCTGTGAGAGTGCCACTGCACTCCAGCCTGGACAACAGAGTAAGACTCTGACTCAAAAACAAACAAACAAAAAACTTTAGGTGTGCGGAGATTAAAGATACACTCTGTCCAGAGGAACAAACGGTGACAGCAATCGTCTTGTCAGAGACGACGTAGGCCAGAGGATGACGGAGGACATCCTCAGAGTAATGAGAGAAAAAAGATCCACTGGTGATAATGTCTTTCAAAAATCATGATGATATCAAGTCTTTTACAGACAAACAAAAGCTGAAAGCCTTTCTCACCAGCAGTCCTTCATGGCAAGAAATGGGAAAGGATGTTCTTCAAGTGAAAGGAAAGTCATGCCACGTGGAGACCCGGAGGACACACAGAAGTGAAAAGGATCCAGGAATGGTAAGAACGTGTGTAAGCATAAAAGGTGTGGTCTTCTGATTTTATTTTATTTTTTGAGTCAGAGTCTCACTCTGTTGCCCAGGCTGGTGTGCAGTGGCATGCTCATGGCTACCACAGCCTCGACCTGCTGGGCTCAGACGATCCTTCTATTTCAGCCTTCCAAGTAGCTGGATACTACAGGCATGGGCCACCACACCCGGCTAATTTTTTTTTTTTTTTATCGTAGAGATGAGGTCTTGCCAATTTTCCCAGGCTGGTCTCGAACCTGCAGGCTCAGGCAATCCTCTCACCTCGGCCTCCCAAAGTGCTGGGATTATAGGCATAAGACACCGCACCCAGCCCTCTCCGTGTTTTGATTGAAGCAGTGGTTACACAGCTGCATGCATTTGTCAAAATGTCTTTCTGTTTATTGTACACTGAAATTGGTAAAATTGTATTGTATGTAAAGTATATCTCAAAAAACAACAAAAAAACTAGTGTAAATAAGCATCGTCTGAGAAGCACATGAAAATGTATATTCCTGAGCCCTGCTCTCAGAGAATCTGGGTTGGAAGGTCTGAGATGAGGCCTGGGAATCTTAACTTCAAAAAATTATTTTTTATTTTTATTTTTTTGTAGAGCCAGGGTCTTGCTATGCTGCCCAGGCTGGTCTCAAACTCCTGGGCTTGAGCGATCCTCCTGACTCAGCTTCCCAAAGTGCTGGGATTACTGGTATGAACCACCATGCCAGGCCTAGAATCTTAATTTTTGCACATGATTTTTCTGAATTAAGAGATATGCCATAAAAAAGATAGACTACAGGCTGGGCTCGGTGGCTCAGCCCGTAATCCCAGCACTTTGGGAAGCTGAGGTGAGTGTATTGCCTGAGCCCGCGGGTTTGAGACCTGCCTGGGCAAGTTGACGAGACCTCATTTCTACAACAAATAAAAAATTAGCTGGGAGTGGTAGTGCGCGTCTGTAGTTCCAGCTACTTGGAAGGCTGAGGCGGAAGGATCGCCGGATCCCAGCAGGTCGAGGCTGCGGTGGCCGGGAGCGGCCACTGCACTCCAGTCTGGGTGACAGAGTGAGACTCCAACTCCAAAAAAAAAAAAAGATAGACTACAGAGATATGCATTTTTATAAAATGTGAATAAGAAAGCAAAAATTGCCAGAAAATCCTATAAAATGCCTGGAGTAATCTCCAGAACAACAGGGCAGGATTATGAAGAAATTTTCTCCCTCTTCTATTTTTCCTTTGTTGTTCAACTTTGCAAAAATGTTACATTTTTAGTAGAACCAACCTACTCCCCCATGGAAATGGAATAAACACCCTCTTGAAAAGACCCTGTGTTCATTTTAATAGTTATGTGGTTCATCTGAGGTTCTGTGAAAGTCGTGTCAATAAAGTATTTTGTTTGTGTATTTATTTATTTTTTGAGTCGGAGTCTCACTCTGTCCCCCAAGCTGGAGTGCAGTGACACACACATGGCTACTGCAGCCCTGACCTGCTGGGCTCAGGCGATCCTTCCACCTCAGTCTCCCGAGTAGCTGGAACTACAGGTGTGTACCACCATGCCTGGCTAATTTTTTGATTTACTGTAGAGACAAGGACTTGCCAAGTTGCCCAGGCTGGTCTCGAACACTTGGGCTCAGGCAATCCTCTTGCCTCCACCTCCAATGTGCCGGGATGACAGATGTGAGCCACCATGCCCAGCCAGGTTTTTTTTTTTTCTTGAGTTGGAGTCTCACTCTGTCACCCAGACTGGAGTGCAGTGGCTG